GGGGGGGGGGGCTCATGAAAGTTTAAATGCCTGAATAGGCATTTGAGAGCCTACTAAATAATGAATCGTACTCACTGCCCAGACCAATGGCCAGTGCTAATATCAGTGCAATGATCCCGATGACGATGATTGGAAAGAACTTCAACGGCAGGAGGGACAGTATCTGTGCCGCGACCGCGTCCGCATCTGAAAATCGAAAGGCGGGGCAAGAACAGGAAGCCACAGAGCGGCGGATTTCAATAAAACAAAACTTAAAATTTAGCTATCTATTCCCCCTTCCCCCGGAGCAGAGAATGTTCCGGCCCAAAGCAAGTGGCCACCTACCTGGGGACACTTTGTCCTGGGGCTCAGCCCCACACTCTCCGCCCTTGGCCCCGTTGTGTCCATCCTGGGTTGGGGGGGCGGTGTTACGGCTGAATTGTGTAACCCCCCCATCCCCGATTATGTTGAAGTTGAACCCCAAATATCATCTTATTTGGAGATGGAGTTTTTACAGACCATCAAATTAAAAAGAACTTGGGGCACCTGGGTGACTCAGTCAGTTTAGCATCCAGCTCTCAGTTTCGGCTCAGGTCATGATCTCATGGTTTGATGGGTTCAAGCCCTGCATCAGGCTCTGTGCTGACAGTGTGGAGCCTGCTGGGGTTCTCTCTCTCTCTCTCTCTCTCTCTCTCTCTCCCCCCCCTCCCCTGCTCACGCTGTCTCTGTCTCTCTCAAAATAAATAAATAAACTTAAAAAAGTGTTTACTAATTAAAATAAAGTCATTGTGTGGGTCTAATCTAATCTGACTGGTGTCCTTTACAAGGGGGACATTTGAACACAGAAACAGACATGCACATGGTACATGGTGTGAAGACGCACAGGCACGACCCCATGTGAAGATCCGGGCAGAGATTGGGGTGGTGAATCTACAAGTCAAGGAACCCCGAAGGTTACCAGACAAAAATGGGGATGAAGAGGTGGGAAAGAAAGGAGGAGATGGAGAGGAGAGTAAGAGAAGGAACGGGAAGAAGAAAGGCCACACACTTCATGGCCCGAAGGATACAGAGCAAGGGGGTGGGGGCAGAGGGCAAGGTCTTTGTTTTGGCCACAATGAGCAGGCAGCTGCACTCTCAGAGCCTAGACCGACACTTGGCGGGCAGTGGTCCTTGGTCAATACGGCTGTCCATACAGCTGACCCTTGAACAACGCGGGTTTGAACTGCGCGTGGAGTTTTTATAGGACGGTCCGGTCAATGTATTTTCTCTTCCTTATGATTTTCCTAATCACGCCTTCTCTTCTCGAGCTTACTTTATTGTAAGAACAGTATATAATACGCACAGCAATCAAAACACTTGTTAAGTGAGTGTTGATGTGATCGGCAAGGCTTCTGGTCAACCGCAGGCGATCGGTAGTTAAGTCTTGGGGGAGCCAAAAGTTATACGTGGATTTTTGACTGTGAAGGGGAGTCAGCAACCTAACCCAACCCTGTGCTGTTCAAGGGTCAACTGTGTCAGGAAACTGAATGGATGAATGGATGAATGACATCATGATAATGGAGGTTGTCTTATCTCCGCAGAGGAGATCAATTCCTTTCAGGGCGACCAATCTGCGGTCTTGAGTTAGTAGAGCAGACTCTTCCCCCCAATCCCTTCGTGCCTTCGGAAGCCTGCACCACATCACCGAGTCCCCCTTACTGAGAGCCCACTCTCCATTTACACTTTAAAAACCAGGAGGAACCCCAAGAATGACCTCTTATCATTCCAGTCGTTCTGTGTCTAAGAGCTGAATTTAGGAAATCAGTCCAAATGGTACATTCAAAGATAGCTGTTCATTTAGAACGTTTAGTATCCATTCACATTTGCCCCTTGATAGTGCCTCGGCCATGGTGCCCTGTGGGCGGTACTGTGGCCCTGCTCCCTCTCCTCGTTCTGTCTTTCAGGGCATGCTTGGAATAAAAAACAAAAATGCATAGCACCTCTCCAAAGAAGAAATGCAGATGATCAAAAAGCATGAAAAAAACCTTCCACCTTCTCTGGGAATCTGGGAAACTGCAAATTAAATGTAACGACATATCAACCTCACAACATTTATCATTATTGTTATTATTATTATTATCATGATTACATCCCCACTGTCATCCAAAGTGAAAAGAAATGGACCCCCACTTACAATCGATAGGAGTATATGCTGTGGAAACTAACTTCTGAGAGTTCGAATCGGAAATATGAACCAAAAGGCTTAAGAAATGGATGGAGGTTTTGACATAGTAAAACCACTTCCGGGACTTTATCTTAAGAGGTCATCATTGATGCGCACAAATTTCTACTGACTCGGACACTTAAAGAGGTAGCATGTGTAATACCGATGCACGGGAAACAGCCTGAATGTCCGTCAGAAAGTACTGGTGACAGAACAGATGTGTAGAGTTAGTTACATGATAGGGAAAGGGGGTTGGCAAACCTCTTCTGTAAAGGGCCAGACAGTAAATATTTTAAACTTTGGGTGCCATATAGTGTCTGTTGCAACTACTCAACTCTACTATGGTATGAAGGCAGCCGTAGACAATAGTGAATAAATGTATGTGTCTGTGTTCCGATAAAACTTTATTTATAAAAACAAGTAGTGGGCCAGATTTGGTCCATGGGCCATAGCTTGCCTAAAAAAAAATTTAATTATTTAATGCCATGGAAAGAATAACATAATATTGTTTGGTTTGGGGGGGGGGACCTTCAAAATCGTGTATGTCACTTCCAAAGGAAAATGCTGATATGCTGGACAGAAAAAGGCAAGAAATACAATACTAAAGCACAAATAGGGTTATCTCTGAATAAGGGTAAAATTGTGGGCAATTAAAAAAAAATCTTTTTGGGGGCGCCTGGGTGGCTCAGTCGGTTGAGCATCCGACTTTGGCTCAGGTCATGATCTCACGGTTTGTGGGTTCAAGCCCCGTGTCGGGCTCTGTGCTGACAGCTCGGAGCCTGGAGCCTGCTTCGAATTCTGGGTCTCCCTCTCTCTCTGCCCCTCCCCAACTCATGCTCTGTCTCTCTCTCTCTCTCTCTCTCTCTCTCTCTCTCTGTCAAAAATAAATAAACATTAAAAAAATTTTTTAATAAAAAGTAAAAAAGTATTTTTGATTAACAGTGTTTTCTAAATTTCTATAAAGAACAATACATTGCCCATTTTTTTTTTTAAAAAAGCACTACTAAATTCCTACCAATAGGAATTAATCATGAAGAAGTCAGCAAAAGTTAGCAGAGGTGACTGTGTATGGTGTTATTCCTGCTCATAATATTCGTACTATAAAAATATTAGAAATAATTGTATGTCAAATTATGATTTTTAAAAACCATGTAAATTATGCATTACTTGATGGGATGTTGTGATGTTATGAATGCAAAGCATTTATAAAAACCAAGGCACACATGGAAAAACACCCATCTGGACCCACACTGTGCGTGAATGTGTACTTATCAGCAAGGACAGGAAGAGAATGAAGACAAACACAATATATCCTGGGGGTCAGGTGATAGGGTATTTTTTAAACGTATATTTTTGCCAACTTTTTGAGCTGTATTTTAAAACCTGTCCTACCTCAAGTCTTCTCCACCACCCCCCACCAACCACAATTGTCCAGAGGGTTTAAAAAGAATCATTAGGGCAGCCCCCACTCTATGTTTTCTGGAACCTCAGCCAGAGCCCCCAGGTGACCCCCTTTCTGGTCCCAAAGGTCAGCACTCCTGAGAGCACCCAGGACCAGAGAGCTACGGCTCACCGTGACAAGTCCTGTGTTTGTGACCTCTTTACAAAACCAGCTTTCCTTCCTTGTTGCTCAGAGCGGCTCCTGTCTCCTACAGTTGGATTTTAATCTGGGCATCGAATACCTTCAGCAATGCCCAGCTTATTTTAAATTTCTTGGAAGAGCTGGTGAGTCCTACTTCTTAGGACTTTTGGGGGGAGGGGGCGCTCAGAGATTTCCCGGCAGGACTTGACTCCTAACTCCCAGGGGCAACTGGAGTCTCAATTTCTGAAAACCTCCATCCAGAGAATGCAAACTTCTCTCTCTGGGAGTTGGTAAGGGGCTGGACAAGGTGATGCCCTCTCTAATGCCCCCTCTCCAGGGTTCGGTAAACCCAAGGAAATGCAAGCATCCAGGTTGTGGGTGTGAGAAATCCTGGTGGCGTGTGTGCCCAGAGGGACATTCTGGGGACGCTTCCCCAGAAATCACACCTGGTTCCACCTACCTGGTGCTACAGGACTTATTTTCAAATCGTCAAGTCCAAAAAGCGATCTGAAGGAGAAGGGGGCCTCAGCCGCGGGTGGGTCATTTTCCCCCATGGTGACTATTTCAGGACCTCTGAGACTTGGCTCCACATCGACCTCCACCTCCTTCACCGGGAAGAACAAAAAGCATTTGTTTCCCTGTTTATAGCTTTAGCATCAACGCATCTTTGACAAGTTAAATCTCTGAAATCTAACAATCCACATAAAGCACACTCAATACCGATTAATCAAACCATTTGTCTAGTGAGAACGCATTTTTTTCCAAGCCACAGCAGGTAACAGAGAAACTTCCAGAGTTAGTAAAAACCTATGAACTTCTGCTAAAATAATGACTTTCCCCTTGTGTAGTCTACCAATCTTAAAACCAATTCACTAGCCATCTTTAGAGATATGTCTTTTCACGATTTAGAAATTACTGCACCATTATTTTTCAGAAGATAAATCACTTTCAAAGCACTTTCCTTCTCTTGTCTGCATTCTTTGTCCCATGTAAACTCATCCCTTTGTCAGCACCTGTGGGACACCTATCGTAAACATGACAAGTTTTTTATACTCACATAATGTCCGTGCCCCAAAAATGTAGATGGCACCAGGGAGGGGAGGCTCACCCACCGTATTTGTAGTTTCCTGTAAACACAGCCCTTCCCGGGCTCACGCGGACATGACCTAGTTAAGGATGAAAATATCCATGCCTTCTGGATGCCCCGTCTCCCACACAGCAAAGGGAAGAGTGGCTGGGGACCGCTGGCTTGCACCAGAGCCACACTGGGGCTCTGTTTCCTCCAAGAGAATTGCACCTATCATAAACCCAGAGAGGTCAAAAGCCTCTGGAATTCATTCCTGCAACTCTAAGAGGGGCGGAGTGAGCAAGAAAATGGCGGAATGTTCCCAAGGAAATCCCAACTCGCCCTCCCAGGCATCAGTCAGGCATGAGTTCTCTGGGAACCTGCTTCCTCCAAAGAGGTTCCTACGGGCATATAAGCATAGACACTTACATCTTTCTGTTCGGTTGGTGGCAACGTTTGAGATTTGAAAAGAAGCTACGAAGCCATTGAACACACACTTTGTCTTTGTGGTCTTAGGAAAATCTAAGCAGGAGTTATGTGCTAAAAGGATTGGTTTCATTTCCATCTCAAGAGTGGCTTTGAAGGGTACCTTAGAAAACTAATAAATTCACATCCAGCATTTTTGCCTTTGATTCTTGCTGTTACTTGCTTCCTACTATCAGCATGTGGCAAATTACACAGCTTAACTTTATGACCAGAATAAGAACAAATGGTAAAATGGTTTCTGAAACCTTGAACCTGGGCACAGAAGTCCCTTCCCAGACAGGCCATCGGCGGTCGGTTTCAGAACACTGAAAAATGTTGAGAAATCCCCTTTCAGAAGAGACTCACTTCCCCAGC